TAATTCCACAGAGGAAAATCAAAAGTATTTTGAAATCCTAATTCTGATCATCAGTTGTGACAGTTCATACCAGATACATTGTTACAGGATTTTTTTAAATTTTAACCACTAGAAATGCCATTAAGATCACTTATTTCTTTAATAAATGTGACATGTAATGAAGCATAAAACAGATATGGCCTGTCAAATAAGAAGCTCTAAAAGTTCCTTGCCTTCACTATTGCTTCTCATGATGACCTCAGAATATCAGCAAAATCCAGCAAAAAAATTACAGCTACCGCTGACTTAAACTTCCCTTCACCTTACCCCAACAGCTGCTTCCAGCACCTTGTAATGTCCCAGTCTCTTCAATGTAATTTTGTTTTGGAGTTTGGAGTGAGAGAGAACAAAAAATGAAAGCTGATTATTTAAAAGGATGGAGGTTTTGCCTCTTTTATTTAAATGAAAGAAACTTAATTTTTAAGGGTTTTTTTTTTTTAAGTTTTATGTGTTAAAATGACCTCAACCTAATCTCACATTGTATTCCTAAACTGACAAGGGCACAATAAGAGGTTCTTCTAAAACTCAAACACTTACTACGTTGTGCTCACCTTCTCTAGAGTCAAAAGTATTATTATGCTATTACAGCCTTAAAAATACATATAATATGAAAAGCATCAGTGCATGCTCAGGGAAAATTAACCCCAGGATTTTTTAAATACATGCTATACTATACTCAAAAACAGTAATAACCATGTAACATGATCAAAATCTCTACTGATTTTTGTTCTTTTAAAGATGTCACCCCCTTCAACTAAAGTATAATAGCAGGGGCATTTCTATGAATAAAGAAATTAAAAGGGACTATGTAGCTAATTTGTAGGTACTTCAGTCTGTAATAAAGTGTCCTTTTATTTCAGTGCTGCTAGGCATACAATGAGATACATGAGTGCAATACAGAAGTCTTGTAAATTAAAACAGCCCCCAGTTTGCACAGTCTTATTCACTGTTGCTTACTTCTTTCAGTCTCCCAAAAGTTTCTTCTCCTATTACTTACACAGCAAAAGGAATTGCTCTAGTATTATGACTATTGTTTTAAACTCCTAGTATAAAAGTTTAAATAGGCAGTTTAATAACCTCATGCTGGTACTTATGACTATAAATTATAATCCTTCATATATACTTAGTGTAATGTACAATATGCTGGCTACTTAGTGTATGTCTGCAGTGCTTAGGGTAAATTATTAGGGGTGCAGCGATAGAGATTTTTGGGGCCAATACTGATAGCCGATATTTAAGGAGACATATCGGCCGATACCAATCTGATATCTGACACACCTGCCATCAGCTGGTAAATCCAGTGTGGTGGAAGGAGAGAGGGGAGACAGAGGGTGTGGGGGACAGATCAACACCCCCTGTGGTGAGGCGCTGCCCAGCCATGGGGGG